GGGGGGCGGGTTAACGGGAGGCCGGGTGCCGGGCCGTGACTTGCCGTAGGCTCTGCGGGCAGGGGTGTTGCACGGCGAAGCTGGCTGGAGAGCACCCTGCTCGGGGGGCCCTCCGCTCGGGGAGGGGTTGCTCTCCTCTGCTGCGTCTGCTGGGAACTTGTTGATCACTTCGAAGCCCTCTGCTAAAGTCTTGACCAAAATGTGCGTTTCAAGCAGTCGCCAAATATGGCTTTTATTAGGCTACTAAGAAGCCCAGCAATGACATCACTCAATCAGATAATTGACGGGGCATTCAGTGGACAGGAGCGACTGGTTTGTGCCATCATTTTCATACAACACACTTCGTGGCCAGTCACACATCGGCTTAGGCCCCGGTACTGATAAGCTTGGCCACATCCTTTCCCCGCCGCAGAAACAGCTCCGCGGACTTCATCACTGCAGTCATTCATGGAAATAAAGCTAAGAATGGACAGGGTTATCTTCAGGAGCATTATTTGTAAGCAGAGGGTATCGTGGTGAAGTCTGAAAGGTATATCTGCAGTATCTTTCTAAGTTGCGCATACTTTTTATTGCCTCCTAATGAATGGGACTGTGAAGGTGGTAGCATAATCCTTCCTTGAGCTAAATCGTGCAGCCTCTGGGCAAACAGTGATTCCTGAGAGGTTTTGGCCGAGTTGTGCGTAGTGTTTTGGGCTCATTTACACTTCTGTGACATTGTATGCACACAATCACAGATTTCAATGGCGTTGTTGACTAAAGCTCTCCATTTGACAGAACAACATAATTACTTGTCCCGATGCCTGATACACAATTCGGTGTGTAACCTTCTGTCTTATTCTAAGTATCCAAATGTATAGTTTTTATCAGCTGTGAAAACAGTGGTCAAGCCTGGGTTGAGCTGAGAAGGAAGGATAAGGGAACGCAAGATAGCGTAGCTGCAAATGGTCCGAGGTGTGCTTTTTCTTGTTTCAACTTGTGCATGGCCCCAAGGAAGGTATTTTTGGTGAACACATCCCTTGTTCTACTTGGGTAACAAGATCTAAGGTAAGGCGGAATGTCCCAGGGATCCCTCCTAATCTCTTACATCAGAGACATGTTTCTGTGCTTTGATACAATGTTTAGTTAGACATCCTTTGCTACCAAGTGCTCTCCTTCTCCTGTCTCCCCTGTCCCTTCACTTTTCTCACTATAGGGGTAATTTAGGTCAAATTTGTGAGTTACTAAGGGATTCTCATCCAGACGTCATTCTGAAGGATTAATGGACTCGATTGCTCACCTTTGGGGGAGGAAAGGAGTTTTGCTGTTAATTCTTTCAAGCAGAGGATCAGACAAGCAGCAATTTCAGAACTATGGAGTCTTCTAGGCCCAAAGAATAGTGCTTCACTTCTGGGATGTTTGTTTGCATTTTTCCAAGAGGATTGATAGCTTTTCTTTCCATTTATCTTGCTAGCTTTATAACTCCAGTTTCTTCAGTTTAATTTTCTCCTCCCCCCTCCCCTCCCCGCTCTGCCTCACTTCCTGTGTTTTAAATACCCATTGACTTCTCTTTAACTCTTCTCTGTTTCTCATCTTCTCAGGCTGTGGAAATGACTTACTCTGCTTTTTTTTTTTTTTTTTTTTCTTATTTTTTCCCCCTCTTCTCCCCTTCTGCTATTTCCAATTGCTGCAGGACTTTCCTAAATTTCCTGGGTGATACCAGAGTGCTGCCTCTGTTGCCTTATTTGGGACACTGCCCAAACTACATGTACTCTTTGAGAACCTGGGAAGGAGGAGGTAGTTCCCCAGATGCTTACAGTATGTGCTTCCAGGTCTGGTCTTTCCATTCCCATCAGCTTACTGCATTGAGTCTCTGGTGACTGGGTTCGTATTTCCACCTCCTGGGCACAAGACTTCCCAGTAAGGTGTGACAAGTGATTCTTTGCTTCCCCTGTGCTGTCAGTTGTTCCATGGCTCTCCTGGTCAATTTGTTAAGCAGGGGATTTTCTATGATACATTCATACTGATGTTGTTAAGTAAAATTTATTTTTCAGGAACTTCAGCATAGGCAGAGGAAATTCTGCTTCCCTTAAAGTCTTTCTTGTCTCTTCTGTAGTTGTTTTATGTCAGAAGTATGTGGGGGTTCAGACAAACTTAGAAAACGCTTTTCCCTTGGATATACCAAGCCTTAATGCAGGGTCTCCCTTGGGATCACTGAGAGCAGTTGATACTGTCTTCGAGCTGACAGGTAAGGGTGAAGCTGAACTTCAGATAGCAATAATCTTCAGGTAGCAATAATAATAATAATAATCCAGGAAAAAAACAAAAAGAGTGTGTTTAACTTCCCCATGTTAAAGTGGGGAGTAGAGGGTATTCTGTTTTTTAAAGCACACCCTTCTAATGCTACTACAATG